GTGGTACAGACTGCTGGGCATGGTTGTTGACAGGAGTGGGGGGCTGGTGGGGGGACAGGAGGGGCTGGTGGCACCCAAAGCTGAGAGGGTATGTTCCTGGGACTTGCATTCTAGCTGGGGACACAAGCACAGTGTGTGCAAAGTTAAATAACGAGTTCAAACAAGACTTTCAGACAAAAAGAGGTAAGATGTCCCAGACTCTTGCATGATTAATTACCCGATCAATTGTCTAGAGTTAATTGACTTGGAATTAGACAGGGGAGAAGAGCAAGGCGCCTCTCGTGGCCCACAGGCAGCAAGCCCAGCAGTCTCACACGGCCAGGGCAGGCAGCTTTGGTTCTCGCCAAGACAGGCTGTCAAAAGGTAGGAATGTTAAGAAGAGAAGTGGGAAGAAAGCAGGATTCCAGGCAAGTGGCAATTTCCAGCAGCTCTGGAGCTGTCACTGGAGCCATGGAGGAGCCCGGGCCAGAACTGGGCTGGGAGGTTGGAGTCATGTCTAGCGGGAAGGAGGACCTCAGCTGGAGGGATCCTAAGAATTACAGGCACTGATGATGATTCTGTCCCATAAAGGACACCGCCCTTCACCCTCCACCCTCTCTTCCTTATGTATCCCTCCCCTCTACAGGATAAAGTCCAGATGCTTGGCATTCAGGCTTGCCCTTGTCACACTGAATTATATTAATGATATATATACACATGTTCCTCAACTTGCAGTCAGGCTATGTCACAAAAAGCTCATTGTAAAATAAAAAATATCATAAGTTAAGAATGCATTTAATGCTCTAATAAACCCATCATAAAGTAAAAAAAAAACATAATTTGAACCATCGTAAGTTGGGGACTGTCTGTATTTACACCTTAGTCTTCCCAGATTACAAACTCCATGATGGCAGAGGCCACATTTCATCCGTCTCTTTGTCCCCAGCATGGCATTGTCATACAGCAGACAGATAACGTGTTTCGGACAAATGAATCAACAACCCAACTTGCCATCCTCCCCCACTGAATCTAGAACTCTCGCCTACGTCATGCTTTCCAGCATTCAGCACCTCCACACACACCTCCACGCCTGCTCTGGGGCTGTTTCCTCCGCACTGGACACCTCCCTTGTCTCCACTGGCAAAATCTTACTTGTCCTTTAAGACACCACCTCCTCTGTGACGTTTCTGTCAACTTCCCTCTCACTAGTCCCCCAAATTACTCATTCTTCTAAGCGTTCTCACTGCACTAATCTTACTATTTATGTAGCCACGAAGAGATCATCAGAAAATAAGTTCGAAAAGAAAAGAGTTTGGGCTGACACGGAGAATTCCATGCCCTGCTCCTTTTTTCCAGAACCCACAATTCGTGTTCTTCCCTCTCCGGTTTCCTGCTTCCCTGGGGGAGTCAGGAGGCTGAGAAGCAGGGAACTGACGCTCCCAGCAGTGAGGAGGAGAAAACACCCTATACATGAAAGCCATTTGGAAGAGAGGCAAGAAACTCTGGTTCTCTAATAAATGCATTTTAAAACGGATTTAACAAATAGGCCATCTGTATTAATTCCTGTTGCTTCTGTAACAAATTACCACAAACTTGGTGGCTTAAGACAACAACAAAAAAATTTATTCTCTTACAGTTTTGAAGACCAGAATCCAAAACCATTTTCACTGGGCTGGAGTCCAGGTGTCTGCAGGACTGTTTCCTTCCGGAGGTTCCGAGAGGAGACTCTGTTTCTTCGCCTTTTTCAGCATCTAGTGGCTGCCTGCACGTCTCTGCCTGTGGCCCCTTCCTCCGTCTTCGTACTGCATCCCTCCAATCTCTGCTTCGTCCTCACGCCGCCTTCCCCTCCTCTGTAGTCACATCCCCCTCTGCCCCCTCTTATAAGGACACTTGCAATTACATTTAGGGCCACCCGGATAACCCAGGATAATGGCCCGTTTCTAGATCCCTCAGCTCAATCGCATCAGCAGAGCCCTTCCTGGAGGAGCAGTCACAGGTTCCAGGGATTGGGACGTGACATCTTTGGGGGCCGTTATTCAACTTACCACACCATCCTTAATCCCACAGACATTTATTGAGTGGCATGACGCAAGTTAAACAGCTCTTCACCAGGGACTGTGAAGTTCAACGAAACACAGCAGGCAAACAATGTCCTTTGAAAGGAGGTGCCCTAGTGCGGACGCAGTCAGTGCGCAGTTAGACGGCTCTGCTCACAGCTGGGGGCTCCCACTGACGTCTGAACCTTCCCTCCGCAGGTTGCCCTGGATTCAGTGACCTGCGTTTGGGGAATCAAAGTGGAAAGAACGGAAATGTGGGTAGGAAATTAACTGGGAAGGACAGTCTGATAAAGGAAAATATTTGGTTTCATGTAAAATTTTTCATTTGAAAAGTTATTTTTATTGAGTATTAATTATGGCCATATTAGCATAAATTTGGAAAAAGAGAAAAAAATTACCTAACGTCTCATAGCCCTAACACAACCCCTGTAACATTTGGGCAAAATACTCTCATGCTCTTTTCTCTATGCATCTAAAAAATTTTTTAGATAAAATTCACATAAAACTTACCATTTTAACCATTTGAAAGTGTGGTTTTAGTATATTTACAAAGCAGTACAACTGTCTGATTTCGGAACATTGTCATTACTCCCCGATGAAAGCCTGTGCTCATGAAGCGGGAAACCCCCGGTCACCCCCAGCGCTTGGCCCCGGCAGCCGCTACTTCAGTTTCTGCCGCAGCGGATTTGCCTGTTCTGGACGTTTCACATGAACAGAACCATACAACCTATGGCCTTTGTGTCCGGCTTCTTTTCACTGAGCATGTTCTCAAAGTTCAGCCACAGCGTAGCATGAATCAGCACTTCGTTGCTTCTCATGGCCGAGTGATATTCCACTGTGTGGCTGGACCACAGTGTGTTTGTCTGTTCATCAGCTGGTGGGCGTTTGGGTTGTTTCCACTCTTTGCCTCCTAGGAATAATGCTACAGTGAACGCTGATTTGCAATTTTTGTGTGTGAATGTTTGCAGTTCTCTTGGGTTCACACCTAGGAGTGGAATTACTGGGTCACGTGGTAGCTCTATTGAACTTTTTGAGGAACTGCTAAATGGTTTTCCATATATATACTTTTCATAGTTATAACCAGGGTAAAAAGACAAGTTTGTATCTTTTATGCAATGCATTAAGTATTGTTCTTATTTGGTCAGTTCTGCCCTTTTCAAAATCAAATCTTCTCTTTTATAAACTTAGACGAATTCCTCTTATCTTTGTTATTTGATAGTATAGCTCTTGAAGGCTGTTTTCCATTGTTCAGATTTAACAGCTGTGGTTTAGATTAAATCCTAAGTGGGAAAAATGAGCACGACTCATCCACACAAACTCCGCTGTGCTCGTGAAGAGAAACCTAGCGCTCTCCGGCAGCGTCAGCCATAACACAGGCCTGCACCTGCGCCGCAAGCGCCGAGACGCCCGTCTCCGCTCACGCTCTGCCCCCAGTCTAGGGGCAGCTCCCTGCTGACTCAGGACTTGCCACGTCACGGGGCAGCCGTAGACAGAGCTGCAAGTCCGCACGGAGCCCTGGCTCCCCACCCCTGCTGCGCACCCACACGCCTGTGCTTTCTTTTGCAGCAAGGACGTGAGGCTGCCGGCCGGGCTTCAGCACTCGCTGGCTGTGGAAGCCGAAGCTCAAAGACAGGCCAAAGTGCGGGTGAGCCAGCGCAGCGCTTGTCTTCCACCGCAACTGCCCTCTGGTAGCTCCGGAGAATCCAGACGGAGGCTGCTCGTGGAGGACGTTTCCCCTCGCTTCTCTGCCTTTTATTCAGCCAGGCCCAGGGCAGAGTCTGGCGTGTGTCCTGCCACGCTACTAAACTGCTCTCTTAACGTGTGCTGATAGCCTCCTAACCGACTAATGCAACGTCCCTCCCTCCTTCTCTCCGAAGCTACTGGCAACAGAGACGGCCTCCCCCTTGGCCCCTGCCTTCACTCCCTCTCCCTAAAGCCGGCTTTCCACGAACATCATCCCAGCGCTCTTCCCTAGTGCTGGCACCTTTCCCTGAACACGCATCTCAGTCGCCTGTCACCTCTGGTTCACGACTCCTCGGTTAGCCCAGAACCACAGCCCTAGCTCGTGCGAGCTCTGGAGGGACGACCGCGGTCAGGGCCCAGCGCCAGGAGAAGGCCGCACGACTCCCTGCTCGGGCGTGCCCGGGAGAACAAAGATCGGGCTGCGAGGGCTTCTCGCCATTGCAGGGTGGGTGGCTGGGGTGTCAGGAAGAGGAAGATGAGGAATAAAGGGAGGCGGGTTTCTCCCGAAGAACAGAAGTAGGTAAGGAAAAAATCTCCATCATTTAAGAGGATCAATCACTGTGGGGCAATGAGGGGAGATGGGAAGAGGGAAGGCAGCCGGTGGTCCCCTGGGTAGAGTTTCTTCTAGATCTCTGAGCCTCGTCCTCCAGGACTTCCCTGCTTTCAGGGGGCATTTCGGGGATGAGCCTGGCACATTCTCTCCTGAAGTGTCTGCCCGTTCGTGCTGCCCCAGCGGGGAGTCACCCTTTCTTAACTCCGTGCCTGTGCCTGGAACGCTGGCCAACTTCTTCTCTGTGCTGACGGAATCTTACTAATCCTCCAAGGCCCACCGGGCATTAATAGGTCCCCTTCGTTGATGGCCCTGAACAACTTCTACCCTAAATCACAACTCATAGTTTAATCTGTCTCCCTGGCTCGAGACCCTTCGGAAAAGAGGCCGAACCTGTTCTGTGCCCGGCGATGCCCATCGCGTGGCAGATGCCCGGCGCTGTCTGCCGAGTCTCGCTGAATAGCGTTAAGGCCTTCGCGGGATGGAGACGGTGACTTTGCGTTTCTCCACTCTGTTTTCCAGATGATCGCTGCGGAAGGGGAAAGGGCTGCCTCAGAGTCCCTGAGGACGGCGGCCGAGATTCTGTCAGGCACCCCGGCCGCCGCGCAGCTGCGATACCTCCACACCCTTCAGTCTCTGTCCACGGAGAAACCCTCCACTGTGGTTCTGCCCCTGCCATTCGACCTGCTGAGTTTCCTGTCTGCTCCCGGCAGCAGAGCTCACGGCAGCCTCCCCTTCCCCGCTGCCTCCAAGCCCGTTGAGCCGCTGAACCCTAAAAAGAAAGACTCTCCCATGTTATAGGGGACGGGGCAAAGGATGATGTCATGTGAAGGGGCCGCCATACGAAAGCCACGTTCCTGAGTGAAGTCCTCTGTCCTCGCTTCCTGCCCTTCCCACGGCCGCGGCGCAGGGAAGGCCCCAGGAGCGCGTGAAGTCACGGCGCAGCGACATGCGTGAGAGGACAGAGAAGGCGTGTAAGCAGTTTAGATGGACGGTCTAGTCAGAGCAATTGTGAGAAAGAGCTTTAGTTGACATTTTACCCTGGAAAGGATTCTGAGTCTAGATGTGGTTAAATTTTGACTCCTGAAGAATTTGGTTCGAATGGCCTTTTTACTGTGGCTCCCACAGCCCTTCCTGCGAGCTGCCTTCCTTGGCTTGTCACGCTCTGCTGTGATCCTGTACTTGGGAAGCAGTATGCAACAATATACTTAGCATATTTGTGCATTAATTCTTTTCTGCATTTAGGATTATTTCTTAGATTCTCAAAGGTGACATTATTAGGTCAAAATATATGCATGTTTTTAAGGAATATCCATACATACTATCAAATTATTTTCTAAGAGAGCTATTTTATCTGTTCGTCTATCCACAAGTATTACCCGTAAAACTAACTACTGTAGGTTGCCACTTGTGATCAGCATTGTGTTTTCTTTTATTTTCAAAACATCTTTGCTGTTTTGTAAATAAAAAGTGTATCTGATGTGAGTTTATTAATTCACAATTGTTAGTCATTTGGTTTTCCTTTTCGTGACTTGTCTGAGTAAGACGACTATTAAATGAATGTGATTCCTATGAGAAGTGTAAACCAGTGTATCAGCACTGAAGTACTGATGCCCTTCTCGTGGCCCGGTCAAGCTTTCTTTCACAAATATTACCGACGGAAAGCAAAATGAGAAAGCAAGCCTTACCTTTCTTTAGAGATTCTGAGGAAACGTTTGCTGGCCTGCCTTCTCCTTCTCTTTCTCTTTCATTTTCTTCTTCTCTTTCAGGTTCCTTTTTTCTAGATGTCCCAGCTATCTCCTCTAGTTCCTTCTCCAGATCGCTATTTCTGATAAGGGCATAATGGAGTTTCTCATTTGCATCCTCAAACTTCTCCTCTGCCTGTCTGGCTCTGCTTTTGACCTCCCTGATGTGGACAAACGCACCAAGACACACAACAAAATGAAAAGGGTCGAAAAAGTATCTTTGACATAGAAACTCACTGTCTAAAACAGGCAGTGGGATTAGATAAACGTGTCTGAAGGGGAGAACTAAGGGAAGCAGAAGAATCAATAATTCACCAAGAACTGGGGGCCCAGGAACTGCTTTGGATGTTTATGTCAGAGCAGTGATCACGCTGTCATTTAAGAATACAACATACTTCTCATTTCTTAGTAAAATCTAACTTTTGGGTATTTGGAATTTTCTACTGATTGCCAGGGAGCCCCCTTTTAAGAGTTAATTTTGGTTTCTTTTAATTGATATGATCCAACAAAAAAAATCCAGTAGCATCCCTTCTTTTCTAGCACCTCTAAAACCAAACTTTACAATCAAGAAAACTAGTTTGGGATGCGCTTAATTACTATAGCACATACTGTACGTCTATACGGCTACGGTCTTTCCTTGGCATCCTCAGCCGCCTCAGCTACACTGCCCTTCCTACTCTTTGCGTTATGTGACATTCTTTCTCAATCACAATAGTTTTTCCCAGCTCCGTTTATTTCCCCGAGTCGTCTCTGAGAAATACACTGAATTGGATCACTCCTAATAACCCCCACCCCACAGACACACATACTTCTTTGACTTCCTCCATCCCCACTGTGGGTAAGCACGGATGTTCCGATCACAGCAACGGAGTTCATTGCCTTTAGCGGAAAACCTGGAGATCCCCGTCCCACGAGTGAGTTCAAAGTGAGAGGGCCAAAGGTCAGCCAAGACGTGTGCATTTCTCGGCCAAACCTCCTGGCCGGCAACATTCATCCTCTTACCACTGTGGGGCCTCATACTCACGTTAACTTGTCTTGCATGTATTCAATTACAGCCATTGCTTCAAGATACTTTTGGGCCAAGGTACCTTGGCTAGCTTCTTTTCTCTGACAAAGGAAAGACGCGATATAAATGAACTGAGAGTTCCAATAATTAATACTCGGCTTTTTCAGGATGTTCTCAATCAAGCCTTCTGAAACATTCATTTTCTACTGCCTGTATTTATCTAGTAGATGGTTAAACACACCCTTAATACCAAAAAAGAATAGGGATTGCCTGTGGCCAAACAGCACAGCGGCTTCCAAATTATTCGTGCTGCAGGTAGACGTGAGCTTGCATACAGCTGTAAAGGAGAGGCAGGGAAAACGATAACGACACAAAGAAACAGAAAGAAAAGAGATTTAAAAAATAAAGAGAAGGGTCAACATGTTTCTCTAATTAATCAAGGAAATTAACTTGTATATCTATCTTACTAACAATTTACTTCATCATACTAAACATACAACACTACAGAATCCAGTAAGCTCTCTAAATTCCTCAGGCAACTTCGTAAATATCAGTTAAAAGTATAAATCTTTCCAGGCAGAGAAAATATGAAAAAAAAAGAACCTCTTTAATTTACTTTGACTGCAGATATATTCCCCAAAACAAAGTAAAAGGGAGGTGGGAGAGGAAATTTAGAAGACGAAAACAATAAGCATATTTTCTAATGAATATTATGACATTTTCCCAGAACCGTGTACTTGTAAAAATCTCATTTATCCGTATTTCGCAGTCAGAAGCGAGTACAAGGCAAACTCTGCGTCATAGATGGAAAGAGGGACGCGAGGGGGAGGCGGCCTGCCGTACCACAGCGTGACCAAGCGGGCCAGCGCAGAACCTTCCAGGCCTCTCACCCTCAGTCACACACCCCATCACACCACGCTTCCCTCTTCTAAAAGAAAATCGGAGAAAAGAAACTGTGTTAACTTTTTCACTTTTATTCTAGATGTCTCTCTTCTTATTTTCTCTGTCACGTACTTTTCTCTGTTTTGCCTGTGAATACTATTTCTCAGCCCGGACTGGCAGCACATGACACGGCTGTGCCTACACACACAGCAACATGCCACTAACTTACTGGATTTTTAACAAAATGGGGGTTTCAGAGCAGAGGCTTCTAGAACTGGAATTCCACACGTGGTTTTGCAGCCCCTGTGAAACAACTGCAACTGTAGGTGGAGCCCCAGGAAAAGCGGGATCGTACACGGTTAACTGCACGTGAGCCTCCTGACTCTCTCCCGTTCTACCAGCACATGTACATTTAGTTACAATGTGCCCGGGAAACGCCCTGTGTTTTGACACTGGCAAGCACAGATTAATGTTTCGTGGTCCGTTTAAAACCCTTCATGCGCCATTCCCGTGGTCTGAAATGCTGCACTCTGGGCTGCTGGCGTCTTCGATGGGAGCCGGGTGGCGTCACCCACGTGCTAAGGCAGATGCTAATCGCAGGTACCGCCATGGCCCCTGCTCATTTCTTAACCTTCCTCTGCCTGTTACGCGCTTTCACCCACTGTGTGATGGGGACGAACATGGCTCTTGGTGTCATTTGCATTCGACCCTCTTCGCCTGTGCCTGTCTGCTGTGGCTTCAAGCTGGCCTCTTTGCCTTGGTCTTCCCGGGCCTCGACTTCACCAGTGGGTTTGGGCTTGGACTACCCTCTTTGGCCTGGGCGTGCCGCAGGGAAGCTCTGACTCCAGGCTCCGCTCCGTGGGATCCAATTCCCAGCAGTGAACTCCTAGCTGGACTTAAGGCTCCTACCAGTTCTTGACATATTTTCTACAGTCACCAATTTCACGGGACCTTCCCTGTTGCTGTTATAAGAAGGGTAAATGAATCACTGCTCCTAATACTTGTGCCCGGGTACAGGGTGTTGCATAAGGAAAACACAGATCTCTGAGGGCCTCTTTCAGCCCAAATGACAGCGGTGAAGGCAGAATGTCTCATCTTGTGTTGAAAATACTGCTGATCCCCGAAGTGTGGCCCCTGCTCTCCTTTCCAAAGGAGCCTACAGGAGATCCAGCAAAATTCCTGATCTTCCCCAAACAGTTAAAACTCTTTATGCACAGTCGGGACCCATGGTTTTAAGAGGAGCCTGAAAGAGAGTGTTTCTAATGTCTGCTTGTCAGGGTGGCCGAGCCCAGTTCACACAGCCGAGCACTGCATCTAGGGCCACTGTCGCTCCAGATGTTTTCAGTCGTCTCGGGGAGAGCTGCTGAATTAGCCGACCCACGTTTCCACTGGTCAGATGATGCGTTAAAGAATTCAGGCTCCTTGCCCTGCAGGGACGATATCGGAATGACTGACTCAGAGAGGACCCCAGGGTTTCCACTCTCAGAACCGATTAAACTGGGCCAGATCTGAAGGCAGCCTGGTCTTCCCCGAGTGGGGCACAGGCACGGTCAGGGCTGCTTAGCGGGACCGTGAGCCAGGCCCGGTGCCGAACTGAGAAGCTGTGCTTGCGTGAGGCACAGCAGGCTGTTTCTGTGCGCGGATGCCCGCTTTGAGCGCGATCCTCCCACAGAGCCCTGTCTCCCCGCTAACCGAGGAGGGCTTTCAGTAACGGGTTGCCAGACAGCTGCTGCGGCGGCCTCCAGGGCATCAGGTAACAACACCAGTGAGGCCCTGACTGATCAGGCCACGCCATTAGCCTGCCCAGCCTGATGGTGACTTACTGCCACTGCTGTTGAGATATCACTCGTAGCTCAACCCCTGGAAAATCCCCTACAGGAGTCATTTCCGTGAGGGAACACAGGGAGTAACCGAAATTCTCCGTGCTCAGGTCCCCAGCCCGGTGGGCCGGAGCCACTTCTCACCTGAGACCTAGGACCCAGCTGTCTCCTGGAGCTCTGATGTTCTAGGACTCAGCTCCCAGAGACATGGCAAGTTACACCTGCAGGCCACAAGGTTTCTGCTTCTCGATCCTTTCCTTCCTTGTATCTTTCCTTCCCCAATGCCAATCCAATGTCCTGCCTCCTGAGAGTTGTGTTTTTAGACCAGGAAGAGAAAGGGTGCAGCTACCCATTAGGCCTGGTGCCTTGGGCTTGTTTCCCCACTAAATGGTTATTTTTGTTCTTAGGACCAGAGGCTGAGTGTTTGTGGAAAAGGATAAAGAAAAACAAACAAACAAAAGAAAAACTTACAGTGAAAGTCTTGAAACCTTAAACTGCCCACAGGGAGCCCGGCTATCTTTGTGGATGGAAGAAACATGGGGCTCAGTCCCTGCCTGCTCCAAGGACCTTGCAGTGCAGCCTAAAACCAAGATACGTGTCCCCCGGCTCCGCTCCCTGGCCCACACCTCTAACATCACGAGCCAGTTCAAGGAAACTTTACTCTCTGGGTACCAGCATCTCCAAATATCGACCTTGTCACCAGCTAGCCTAGCGCCAGCAAGCCTCCTCCGTTCGAGCACCTGGCAACCCCTCCTACCTGAGCAGTGCCCCAGACACCGTCCCGCAGGACAATGTGACTCGTCTTGATCTCCAGGAACTTGCAAGTGATTGCACATCTGCATGCATTTTGGTCCACTCTCCAGACTATTTGGTTACTGAGAACCAACACGGTTTGGTCCTCAGTGATCTATGGCAGCAGCAGCAGAGTTTCAAAAGCCTAGAGAACGACTTTCTGGGCCATGTCCCCCTCAGCCAGGCTGCCCACACGGCCCCACATCCAATGGCGGCGTCTGGGAGCGGCGAGCCCCATCCCATCTCTGCGTGCGATGCTCCCCAGCTTTGCCCAGCCTGTGGGCTCCTGCTCTCCTGCCCGCTTCCTGCTGGCTCTAGGCCTGACCCAGATGCCCGTCCCGGATGGCACAGCAGGGTTCTTAGCTCAGGAACCAAGTCTGAGGCAGGAGGGCTTGTGGCTGGGACTGGTGGAATTAACAGATAAAAAGGCGCTATCTTTTGTTTCCTTCTTATTTTTTTACATGTCCTCTTACATTGTATTCCATTCCCACTGCTTCCTCTTACATCTCTGCCTCACAGTTGTAATTACTGACATATCAAAGTGCCATTTTTAAAACAGTGAAAAGGCACTACTTTGGGAGAATGTGCTTATAACCCCTCACCCCACGCACCACCCTCACCCCAATTTTGCTAGTTCCCACCTGACTCTCCACGTGGTTTCTTCCAGTTCTTCCTACCAGAGTTGGAGCCTCTTTCCAGCGACCTCCCTGGATATACGTCCCTGCGATTGGCCTCTGCTTTGAGCCACGCCTCCACCTTGGAGACCCAGCTGCCATCCACAATCAGCCCCCACAGAGCCCATCGCCGCCACTGCACGCAACGCTGCCCACTCAAATGCATCAGACCCCCAGCAACGAAATGGTTCTTAACTTTAGGATCGAGAACTGTGATCAAATTGATTACTCCCCACAACCTCAGTCCAAGAAAATGCCCTATCTGAACACACACACAAAACGCTGCACACGATTTCGGGGGATTAATGAGATAGAGCCCATCCACAGACTCCCAAAGCCATGGCACTATGTAGGCAGCGAGATATTAATCCACAGCTGATTTGACCCCACCATGGTCCCAGAATGAAATTTCTGTGGAGAAATTTTAAATCTGCTTTCTTGATGTGTTTCCATAGCCATTGTCTCTACTTTTCCAATTCCCCAACAATTCTTGTGGTTGGAGGTACGTGCTTATCACAGTTCTCAATGAAGTCTACTTAATATTTAAAAATTGGTCAGATATTGACCGAGAGATTGTAAAACTAAGTAAAGGGATGAAATAGTGATATTAAAATGAGATTTAAAGATGAGAATGAGAGGTTTTTGTAAAGTTAAGGTAAAAAAATAAGAGTTTTCCGGGGATTATGCTGGAAGAAAAAATATGTAAATACATTACTTTGGAGCTTCTGGTCCTCTTGGAAGAGCTATAAGTTATGTTGGAGCCATATACTTTTCCTATAATGTTAAATAATTTTCAATTTCCTAGTTGGGTTTCAGATACATACCCAGGAAGACAACTCATCTGTATGTAGTAGAGGCTTGGAATGAATATTTTTGTCTTCTCCAATGAATCGAATGAGTTTTTCCTTCTCTGTAGATGCTGGAAGTTGCTGGAGCAGAGAAACACCAGAGGTCTGTCAGCGAGGTGGGGTGTGCACAGTGGCACACCGGGTCACCTCGCGCCACGTCAGAAACTTCAACTTTCTATTTGTCTTAATCGCTCAGCAAGCATTTTTGAAGACTCATCCACAGCAAACACTGAGAAATGGATGGAGATGAGGGAGTGGGGATAAGGGGATACAGCCACGGGAAAACAAAGAGCAATTCTCCCAGACTCTAGGAACGCACAGCGCACCGGGGAGAGAGGTGACAGGAGGAATCATCATGGCACAACATGATCACTGTTAGCACTCGGGTGTGTTCCGTGGGCTGTCTGCACCCAGAAAAGGGCCCTGTATTCTGCCTAAACACTTCAGGAAGAGTTCACGAAGAAAACGGTATTTGAAGGCTGGACAAGTACTCGTACAACAGAGAAGAAAAGGCCTGAAGTAAGTCCACAGATAACAATAACAATAATAATAGTAGTAGTAATAATGGTTTCCATTTATTCTGTGCCTTCTATATGCCGAGCACTTTACCAGAAATGAAACAGAAAATGCTGGTCAACAGAGGCTTGGGTGTTGCACGATTTTTTTGTTCTGTTGTCCAGCCTATACAGTGAGTAGAAGGCCTAGGACGGAGCCTGGGGTCATGCTCAACATTGAAACTACATGTGAAGAAGAAATGCGTCAGGGATGTAAACCAAGACATCGTAGAGCGTGTTAGGCAATCATGAGCTCTGGAAGCCAAAGGCAGTGGTAGTCAGTCTAGGGATTAGCAAGGGCTTTTATGCCAGGATCATCGGGGTTCGAGTGTGGGTTCTGCCACATATAGCTATATGAATCTGGGTGACTCACTCAACCTTTCTGAGCTTCTGTTTTCTTATCTGTGAAATGGGGGCAATAATACATGCACCAAAGTTGTGTTGTGAGATCAGAAATAACATGAGCAGAGAACATTGCTCATGACAGGCACTCAATTATTGGTAGCTATTATTTTAGTATTATTATTTTTTAAATGCCCCCAGAAGTGTTGTTATTATCGCAAATATCCCAGCAGGTGTGAAGACAGAGTGAGGGAAGGAGAGGTGTGGGGAAGGGCCCGGAAGGAGGGAAGGACAGTTCAGGATGGGCACTGAAGAAGTAAAGACGTGGAGTTTTAAACCATTATTTGAAAAATCTGGCAATGAAGGGATAAAAAAAATAGCACCAGGGTGAGAAGTAGATTGTGTAGTTAACAGGAATACGGATGAGAGGAGACTAAAGGGAAATGACTGGATTTAGAAAGGAAAATAAATGACAAAAATAAGTGTGTCTGCAGGTATGGTTAAATCTATATGAGGGAAAAAAAAAGGAAATTGAAGAGTTCATTCCAGATGATCTTTTTTTTTTTTTGAGACAGGTTCTCACTCTGTCACCCAGGTTGGAGTGCAGTGGCTTCATACAGCTCACTGTAACCTCCAACTCCCAGGCCCACATGGTCCTCCTGCCTCAGCCTCCCAAGTAGCTCGGACTACAGGCACTCACCACCATGTCTGGCTAATTTTTTTAAAAGCTTTTTAGTAGAGACAGGGTCTCACTATGTTGTCCAGGCTGGTCTCAAACTCCTGGGCTCAAGCAATCCTCCTACCCGGCCTCTCAAAGTGCTGGGATGACAGGCGTGAGTCACTGTGCCTGGCCCAGATGACTTACTTCTACTTTCCAATGTGTGTGTGTACTTTAAAAAGATAAAGGGAAAGGAAAAAATACTACTAAATAATCTTACATCTTCTGCTTTCTCTTCTTCATTTTTCTCCTTAAGTTTCTTATCCTCCTCACTTTCCTCTTCATCCTCTTTAAAAGACATGTCTATTTCAGGCTCAATGAATAATTTTATAGCTTCCTGTGAAATGAAACAACGTAATCATAGCTTAGTGTACATAAAGATTAATAATTATCCATTCCAAGATATTTAATGAGCACTAATCCTATAACTGGGTACTGTGGTAATGATACACAGGTTAGCGTAATCCCAGGCTAGTGGTGATGACGCAAAGGATAACAGGAATTCTCCCTGCCCTCAAGAAGCCGACAACTTCATGGACAGGAAAATGCTATGGATGCGTTTAGTCCCATAGCAGGAGCACCCGACCTAGACCAGGCAGTGGGCAGGGGTGAAGGAGGGAGCTGGTCAGGAATATTTCCCGAAGGAGACAATGTCTGAGTTTCTTCTCGAAGGATTAAGAAGGGAAAGAAGAAGGCACAAAGGACTTCTAGGCAGAAGATGTTCTACGTGTAGGATCGGTTCTGAGAATAGAAGTATTAATCGTTGGACAGGACAGAAACCACGAGGCAGGTGAGCAGGGCGGATCACAGGGGAAAGACGCGTCTGTTATGCCAGGGAGGCTGGTTTTATGCTGAAGGCATCGATACATTGACTGATCTGCTTTGCGTTTTCAACAATCCCTGTAGCACCGGGAGAGCCATTTAAAGACGAGGAAGGACGGGAGGGAGGACAGAGGGGGAGAGAGAAGCAGGGAGAGAAGCGGAACACCGGAGGGAAGGAGCCGCCGGCGGCTGCGGGGACGAACAGGGTGGGGCTGAGGGGGTGTCTCAGAGGCGACTCCCGGACACGATGGCTGGGAAAGGGCGCGTCTGGAACGACAGCGGTTCGTGGTTTAGGCCGCCGGACCGAAGACGGTGCCGCTCACAAGGACGACGAACGAAGCCAGGGGCGCAGGTCTGGGCGGGGGTGGGTTCGGATTAGGCTGCGCGTTGAGGATCCACCGACACCCGAGCGGGAACAGCCGGCACGCAGCCGAAAATACGGACCTGGAATTCGGGTGGGGGGTGCGCTAAACGCAGACGGGGCAGCTCCCGGCATTCAGTTCGGAGTCAAGGACGCAGACTGCGTCCCAAAGCAAACAGCGCGAGCGGCAAGCGGACCAGACGCCAGGGCGGGACCGCGGTCACGCGAAGCGCCAGGGCAGCAGGAGGCCCGCGGGCCGGAGAAAGCCCGGCCTCCCCCGACTCGGCTCCCGCGACCCCGCCCCAAGGCTCGCGAACGGCCAGCGGTCCCGCCGCGCCGCCTCCGAAACGCGAGTGCCGCCGGGGCGCGCCCACCCAGGAACCGCCACTGCGCCTGCACCAGAGGGCGTGCCACGGCCCCACGGCCCGCGACCCCTGCCGGGCGAGAGCGGGCGGCGCACCCCCGCGGCGCCGCCCCCGTGCGGAGGCCTCGCCCAGCCCCAGCCTGAGCTGCCAGCGGCGGCCTGGGGGACAGACAGCCCCCCACTCAGCGTGAAGACGGGGCGCCACCAGCTCAGACTGCGACAACCCAGGGGAGCAGGACAGCAGGGACCAGCCACACCACGGGTGTCAGGGCATCCGCCCCGCCCCCGGGTCCGGAGTAGGCCACAAAGCCCCTCCAGGGACCTCTCCTTGTAAGCAGGAGAGTTCCCAGCAAAAGAGAACAGAAACCCCTCTGCCCTGAGCTGAGAGAAGAGCTTTCAGATGAGAAGACGCCACCAAAAGAACTCTGGCAACAGGAAAAAACAAGCCAGCTCAACACCCCCAAAGGATCACAGTAGATCCACAGCACCTGACCCCAACCAACAGGAAATTACTGAAACGTCAAAAATGGAATTCGGAAGATGGATGGCAAATAAGATGAACGCAACTGAAGAGGAAGTTGAAAACCAGCACAAAGAAGCCAAAAAACTATTTCAGGACATCGGTGAAAATAATGAAAAATTGCTCAAGAGATAGGCGACTTAAGAAAGGATACAACAAAACTTAAAGAAAAGAAAAAGTCATTTAGGGAATTTCAAAATATATCAGAAAGCTTCAAAAGGCCAAACCAAAACGAGAAAGGCTCTCAGAGCTTGAAAACAAGGCTTTTGAACTAAACTAGTTGGTCAAAGATGCATGAAAAAGAATAAAGAAGAATGAAAATCGCTCAGAGACATGTGAGACTGTGTGGAGTGGGCCGATACACGCATTATAGGTATCCCTGAGGGATGAGAAGAAAAAGTGAAAAACACGGAAAACCTATCCAAGGGAATTAGTGAGGAAAACTTCCCTGGTATCACCAGAGATTCAGAAATCTAAAATACAAAATTTTTAAAAAAGTAGCAGTATGGAAGGAGACAAGATCAAGGGCCATATTTTTTAGGATGGGAGAAATGACCATGTTTTACATTGTTTTAAGATGGATAAGAATGGAACTATTGGAGAGGAAGACACTAAAAATACAAAAGGGAGAGGACAGTGGACGTGGAATCAGTGCTCAAAGGAAGAAATAACCTGGGGCGGGAAGACTGAGAGTGGGCGGGAGGAGGAGGGTGAGAGCAGGAGCAGGCAAGGCTGGGGGTCTGCTTCAGGAAGCCGCAGGGAGCTCCCCCCTAAAGCCACTCTTTCTCTCGTAAAATCACCTGCTAAGAAAGTGAGGAAAGATGTTTGGGTGGATGACTCTCCTCCTTAAAGGGGAGAAGAGCTGCCGATACTCTTGGTCAGAACCAAACTCTCTTCTGTTAGGGTAAAGGAAGGAGGATTGAGCACATTGTTTGGAAAAAGCTGCTGAACCTTCTACTGAAACACAGGAAGAACCCGAATAAGGACCAGCGCAAATACCTCTTCTCCAAGTAGGTGCTCTGTTTCTTCATATGTAAACAACTTTATTTCTCTGCCTTTGATATCAGAAAGGAGGTGAGAGCATGTGTTGATCCATTCATAACATTCTCTCTGAGAAGAGATAAAAGATTACTAAGCAGAAAAAATCAGATTACACCAACTCATTCATTCACTCACTCCTATGGAGGACCTCCTAAATAGTCCTCTAAATATAACTCCATTCAGTCACTTTGTACCAGTTCAGTTCAAAGACTTTTGCAGAGGTGACTTACGATGAACAGAGAACTAAATCATATTATCTCTTACTGGCAGGGTTTGGGATCTGGGTTGCAAAGGGACAGGGAGAGGTGACATGCCTCAGAACTAGAGAAAGATTGCTAGGGTTACTGACACCTAAATGTCTCTCCTAATAAATATTATGCAAGTGACCGGGTCACCCAGGTCAATATTATTATGCTTGCATAATAATAATAACAGAAATAGCAAATACTTACATGGTACTTACTTATATGCCAGACTGTTCTAAGCATTGTGCATATTTTTAACTCATTTGATCCCTAATATGAGATATGAACTGTTATGACACTCATTTCTTCTTAGATGAGGAAACTGAACAGTTCAATATCTTGCTCAAGGTCATACGAAGATATAGATATACAGTTAAGCATGATGCTTGGATTCTAATCTAGGTGGTTTGTATTCTTAACCACTATAATAATATTATTCCCTCTGCCTCGAATAAAGGGAATAAATAAAGATTTGAGAGACTGTTTTGGAAAAGGTGCTCACCCCTTATCTACTAAGATACAGAAAAGGTCTACAGCAGGCCTCATCCACCTAAAGCAAATAGTAAAACTATTATTTACTTTACCAAGGTCTCCCAACAGCTAAGATCTAGTTTTAATTTTTAAAAGGTACATTATTCCTTATTAGCGAGTAAAAGCAGCGAGAACTAGGAAACATTGTCTTCTCTGGGAAAGGAGATCTGGCTACTCTATTAAAACAACTGTACTAGCTGAGTGAAGGGCTCACACCTGTAATACCAGCACTCTGGGAGGCTGAGGCAGGAGGATCGCTTGAGCCCAGGAGTTTGAGACCAGCCTGGACATCGCAAGACCCCATCTCCACAAAAAAATTTAAAAAATTAGCCAGGTGTGGTGGTGCACACCTGTAGTCCCAGCTACTCGGGAGGCTGAGGCAGGAGGATTGCTGGAGCCCAGGAGTTGGAGGCTGCAGTGAGCTGTGATCAC